GGGGAGTTGACGGCCTGGTGTCCCCTGTGTCACAGTGATGACGGAGTTGACGGCCTGGTGTCCCCTGTGTCACAGTGATGGGGAGCTGACGGCCTGGTGTCCCCTGTGTCAGAGAGGTTTTCCTAAGAGCAGCTTGGAGCTGTTGCACAGGTGTTTCAAGCCTTCTGCCTGGGCTTCTGACTTGATTTGCCATGGAGGTTTTCAGTGTCACCCATCTGTAAGCTAGTAGTTCTTACCTGGGCTGAGTTTGTCCTCTGGGAGACATTTGACAGCTGGGAACACTAGGCAGGGATGCAGCTGAGCTTTCTGTCATGTACAGGGCAGCCTCTTAGACAAAAGAATTTCTGGCAATGAGTTCAGTAGTGTTGAGACTGAGAAACCCCCCTGTGAATGACAGAGCGTGCTTACAGCACAGGGTGATTGGTAGGACTTCAGGTGCGACAGCACATCCGTTTCTTAATTCATGTGCTTCATGTTAAAGAAATGGCTTCCATTGCTCCCCAGTAACTTTATTCATCCAAGTGTTTTATGCTATATTTAAAGGTATATGATTAATACTCTCAAGAAGTTAGTACTAAAATTGATCATTTATTTTAATGGACATCAAATAGAATGAAAATATAGACACCGGAATATAATGTGGTAATATTAAAAATAGCTACCTGTTAAGAGCTTGTGAGCAGAGATTTTATGGCCAAATGATTTGTTTTATTGGTTTTCAGAGTATAGTGAGAATAGGATTAGTTATCTCAATATATCACTATTTACTAATTTGATGATGAAACATTGACTCCCCCACACCCAATAAATTAAAGACAATAAATCTGAGATAATGTAGTAGATTCAGTTGCTTATATCTTTATTAGGTAAAACTTTATCTACATTTCATTGAATAGGATGTACTCAGGATATGAGTTGAAGATAGACACACATGCGTATGTATGTTTGTTTATTTATGTATGTGTACTTTGCAGTGCTAAGAGTCAATTCGAGGGCTCCTGTGTGGTAGGCAAGAATTCTACCATTATTCTAGTTTACTTTCTGTAGCTGTGATAAACCCTGACTGAAAGCCACTTGGGGGGAGGGAGGGAGGGAGGGCTTGTTTAGCTTACAGGTTCAGGTTCTGATCCATCATTGAGGGAAGTCAAGGCAGGAACTTGAAGGCAGTCCTGCTTACCATTTCAATTAATATTATCTCTGACCAGGGAAGTAAGAAGCAGTTGTTTGTGGGAAATTAAAGATCAGAAGTTATTTCCAAACAATGTTGTACTGTCTGGATTTGTGTGTCAACTTGACACAAGCTAGAGTCATCAGAGAGGAAGGAGCCTCAGTTGAGGAAATGCCTCCATGAGATCCAGTTGGAAGGCATTTTTTTCATTTAGTGATCTATGGGGGAGGATCCAGCCCACTGTGGGTAGGGCCATCCCTGAGCTTGGTCCTGGATTCTATAAGAAAGCAGGCTGAGCAAGCCATGTGAAAGCAAGCCAGTAAGCAGCACCCCTCCATGGCCTCTGCATCAGTTCCTGCCTCCAGATTCCTGCCTTGTTTGAGTTCCTGTCCTGAATTCCTTCAGTGATGAACAGCAATGTGGAAGGGTAAGCCGAATAAACCCTTTCCTCCCAACTTGCTTTTTGGTCATGGTGTTTCATCACAGCAATAGTAACCTTAACTAAGACAAATGTGAGCATCCAAGAATAATTGTGATTAATGTAAGCAGTATGGTTAAGACATTTCTTGTGGTGGTATTTGCTAATCTTGAGTGAAGTCTCTTTAGTATGCATACCACCTATCAATATGACATAATTCTACAAGATTTTGTAAAATGCTGAATCTTGTGATCTAAAGTAAAACCTTGTAGATAAATTTCTAAACGGTGTTATTAAATAAAAAAAACACAGAGTCGGATATAGGGATATAGACGAATTTCTAAACAGTCTTATTAAATAAGAAACACAGAGCCAAATACAGGGGTGAAAGCCTTAGAGATCAGAGAAATAAAAATAGCCACCAGCTAGCCTTAGCTCACCTCACCGTCATAGCTTCCCAAGAGAACCAGCTTCTTCCTGTCTAACCTGTGCACCTTGCTGTTATGCCTTCTCTTTGGCTCTTAGCCCAGCCACCTCACTTCCTCATCACTTCCTGTCTGTACAGACCTCCAGGTCTCTATGGTTGGTACTGAAATTAAAAGCATGTGTCACCATGCTTGGCTGTGTCCTAGAACACACAGAGACTCTGCCGGCCATGTGATTGGATTACGGGCATGTGTTACCACTGCCTGTCTTTTGTTTATGGCTGGCTATGTCCTCTGATCTCCAGGCAAACTTTATTTATTAACATACAAATAAAATATCACCACATAGGGGTGAAAACTTGAGAGATCAGGGAAATAGGGAAAGCCACAGCTAACCTTACCTCACCAACTCTGCAGCTTCCAAATGCGAGATACTTCCTGTCTCATACCCTCACCTATGTGCCTCACTATTCTGCCTGATTTGCTCTCCTTGTCCAGCTACATCACTTCCTCTTCCTGCCCAGCTCTGTCACTTCCTGTCTGTCTGCACAGACCTCCATGGTTAACTATAGTGTTGGAATTTAAGACGTGTGCTACCATACCTGGCTCTGTTTCTGGTGTGGACTTGAACTCAGGAGATCCAGACAGATCCCTGCCTTCCAAGTGATAAGATTAAAGGTGTGTGCTAACATTGCTGTGACTTTTGTGTTTACTTATAATGGCTTGGTTTTTCCTTTGATCTCCAGGCAAACTTTATTTATTAAAGCACAAATAAAATATCACCACATTTCAGCACAAATAAAATATCACAACAAAATGTAATCCCAAGTCTTTGTGTTTTCCAGTAAATTTTAATGAGAAATTAGAATCAGAACCGGTTTGACTTTTATAATGGACTATAAACATATTCCTCTCACTGAGTAATAGTAATTTACTA